AAAAAAAAAGGTGGGGGATCCAGGTACCTCGCCGGCGGCCCTGCAGGTGACAGCAGCCGGGGATCAGGGTTTGGACGGGGGGGGGAGAGGGGGAACGGTTGGCGGCGGATGAACCGGGCCTCTTGGAGGCAGACAAGAGACCCCAAGAACAGGGTACAGGGAAGGGGCAGGGAGCCGAACCGGCCCGGGCCCTGGATCGCCGCGCGGGGCGAGCGCGCCTTGGAGCCTCCTTTGCAGCAAGGCGGACCAGGCACGCGGCGCGTTGCTTGCTTGCTTGCTTTGGGGCAAGATCGAGACTCCGGAGCATGTAAATCTCTGCACCAGTGCCGTGACCGGCAGCACCGGAGCAGATCTGGGGGAGGCGGAGGGTGGGGGGGTGGCGGGAGAAGGGAGACCCTCGTCCACTCGCCGGGTCTCTTTCTCCTGCCGCCCTCGCTAGCGTCCCAGGCAGACTCGGCTGCCTCTCCTTCCCCGTGGCCTGCAGACTCTCAATCGGTGTTCGAAGCCGAACTTCCCACCTCCGAGATGCCAAAGGTCTGAGGCGTGTATTATGTATAAAGCATCGGGGGGGGAGGGTTGCAAGCCAGAGGGATGCCTAAAGTGCTGCAAAAGTGTGTGCCCAGGGAGGGCCGGCAGGATTTGGGAAGGCTGAGCAGCAGCTGGAGGGGACCCCCACTAGTGAAAATCCCTCACCCGGGATCTCCGGGAGGGGGAAACTAAGGGTCCATTTTCTTCTAGAATGACCAGGTTAGCCTTGTTTTAAAGTCTTTTTTTTTTCAGACCCCCACCCCTGAGGAACACAGGATGGATATTCCTTAACAAGGAATGCCATCGGATCGAAACAAATTTTAACCCCCGCCCCCGCTCCTTCCTTATAGTGACGGGTTTTCTCTTTCCCTTCATATTCTCCTTGCTTTTTGGGATTTCTCTCTTCCGCAGTTTATTCTCTTGGGAAACCTGCTTCAGCCCATGTGCTTTTCTGCTCAGTGCTGAGGGAAGCATCCTGTTCACTCCTCTCTCTTTCTCTCTCAGCTTCCTCCCAAAGCTGTTTTATTGTCACCCCCCACCCCCTTTTTTAGCCGCTATTTTTTGCCTCCTGGCATGTTGTTGAGGCTGCTGTTCTTGTTGCTTTGGCAATTTCCGAGCTCTCAGCTTCCGAACCCATCGCTTCAGCCATTGTCCTGGGCTGAACCTGGAGAAAAGTGTTCGAGCAGTTGCATTAGCCGGAGCATGAATTGATTTACTGTCCAGCTTCTCGGAGGCAATCCCTGGGCGGAATGGGAGCGAGCGAGCGCCTGGGAAACAGCAGCTAGGGGAAGGCGAAGGCAGAAGAATCCTTTTGTGTGCTCCCTTGCACACATACTCCCTTCTGTTTCCTTCTCACCACCTCCGTTGTCCTGCCTACAACAAGATTTGAGTTTTGCAGCAGCACTCAAGTAGGAGGCCGAGGGGGGGGTGTCTTTCTGTCTCTCCCTACTGGCTGTGTTGTGCTTGTCCCTTGATGTGTTGATGCTTGCTGTCTTGCAGCTGATCTTCGCCCGGGAGCTGCATGCATGTCGGATGCAGGCGCTGCCAAGAGAGTAGGCTGCCCTTGGTTGCACAGGAGAACGTGTGCTGATCTCCACAACTTGACATCAGAGCATCCCCCAGCCATCTGTGACTGAGCTGTCTGAAGCAGTGGTACATAGTAAGGAGGAGGAGGAGGAGGAGGCAGCAGCGACGTTAGCAGTAACAGCATCCGCGGCTAACCCTGCCCTCTGTTGAGTTTGTATTACCAGAGTATGCGCTGATTTGCTGCCTTGCCTTTTAGACCCATCCCAGTCGTCCGGGTGCGTGGTGCATGGTGTGGGGGGGATCCACTGTCTCCGTAATAAATGATAGAGGATACAATGACTTTGCTCTCTCTGCTGGGTCGGATCATGCGTTACTTCTTGCTGAGACCAGAGACACTCTTCCTGCTATGCATCAGCCTGGCCCTGTGGAGCTACTTCTTCCATACGGATGAAGTGAAGACCATCGTCAAGTCCAGCAGGGATGCCGTGAAGATGGTGAAGGGCAAAGTGGCCGAGATCATGCAGAATGACCGCCTCGGGGGTCTGGATGTGCTCGACGCTGAGTTCTCCAAGACCTGGGAGTTTAAGAACCACAATGTGGCTGTGTACTCCATCCAAGGCCGCAGGGACCACATGGAGGACAGGTTTGAAGTGATCACAGACCTGGTGAACAAGACCCATCCTTCCATATTTGGGATATTTGATGGGCATGGAGGAGAGGCAAGTTTCAGACTGTTTGTTTCTGGTAAAGGGGAATTACTGCAACTTTACCTCTCTCTTTATTTATTGCAATATTCATCTAGGGAACAGTGAGAACATTGATGTTAAATTGCTATTAGAGTTGATTAGTTATGGTTTAGGTAGAAAGTTTAGTGGATGGAGCTGGAGCAATTGGAAAAGACTTGTCAGTTAAAAACTGCAGATGGAACATCCTGAGAGCAATGATTGGGCCCTTGGACTTGCCTAGAGTAAAGCCTAGCATTGCCAGCTTAGGTGATGAGGCTGGCTGTGTGAATTTCGGAGATGTGTATAATGGTTAATTTTGAAATGAGGCATTGAAATGAAGCATATTTTTATTGCAAGAAAAAAAAGAAGGGTTAGCAAAAGATTCCTGATCTTCCTGGCGATGAAACAAAGCTGACATACTTACTTCTAGCCAAAGAAGCAACTGTCAAGTAATGAGTTAATTATTTTGCACTCTTGTGTTGTCATTATTGGTATTGCTGCTCTTCCAGCGTTAGAAGTTTGGTCTTTGTTTATACTACTTTCTGTAGCCTTTCTACTCACCAGGCAGGCTGCTTGTCTTGGAGAGGAGCAGAAATGTGTACGGGTATCATTTCCTCCGCCCACTCCCCTGTCTTTTTTTGTTTTTCTTTTGCTGCTTTTTTGTTTTTACAGTGCACGTATAGAAAGAGCGTTGCAACTTTTTGCAGAGGGGTGAGAAAGGCAAAGCAAAGGTCCGTTCCAGTGGCTTTTTAGCGGCAGACCTGTTTTGCGTGGCCAGTGCTGGAACACGGGAAAAATTCCCCACCACTGCTTTTGCTTGGATTTGAAGAATTGTCAGGAGATATTTGTGTCTGGAAGGCATTGTGCTAAACTTCGATGAAACATTTCACACCAGCTGAAACACTTGCCATGTGTTTGTTTTTATTTGCTTCTGTGTTGTGATCTGAGGCTCTTGGAGTTTCCTGCAGCTGTTCTGACAAGTCAAACTTGCTAGGCAAGCTCTGAGGGTGATTGGGCACAATTTGAGCTCCTGGGGGAGAACAGCTGTTCCTATATAAATCCTGACAAGATATGCCAAGATCCGTCCTTTCCGTGTGCTAGTTATCTGTGGGGAACTTGCTTCTTAACAGTCCCGATCCTATGCATACAAGCAGTCTATGAAGCGAGTCTTGTTTAAGTTCAGGGGGAAACATACATATGGGCTTGAAATTCAAAGATGATAGGATTGAAAAATCAACATTATTGTAATTTAGAACGGCGGCTGTGGGTGTAAAAATAGCTCATTTTCAAATCAGTTATTGTTGAAAGATTTGTGTTATATGATCTAATGTTTAACTAGAATCTTTAGGCTTGTTTTTAAAGAGAGGTATGGGATGGAGGTAATTTGCCTAGAACCTTAAATTCTTTCTTAATCTAATCCACAGCTTTGTGGCTTCTATTTGTTTCGATACATCTCTGCTTAGGAAAAAAAATTCTAATGGATTGTACCTCTTATAAACACTTGTTTCTCAACTGTTCTTTGAAAGCTAGTTCTGTTCCGTCTCTGAATTGTTTCTGTGTTTGGTACGCTCTACATTTTAAGCTATAATTAAACTCTAGATTTATGGCGGAATAGATTTATGGCAGAGGTATAACTTGGCAAACATATGGTTGTTCCTAAGTACATCTACCTCATCTCAATCCAAGCACAACTGGGTCAGGGACTAAGTTCTCTTTAAAAGCATAAGGGAAATACTTACTATAGATAGAAACATAATAGCAGCATTTAAATAGTGTATAACGTATAATTACAACCAACACTTGCTGTCTTGTTTCCAACCTTACTTTGGAGACTAAATTCCATTAGTGAATGCTGTATATATTCTCTCTCTCTCTCTCTCTCTCTCTCTCTCTCTCTCTCTCTCTCTCTCTCTCTCTCTCTCTCTCTCTCTCTCTCTCTCTCTCTCTCTCTCTCTCTCTCTCTCTCTCTCACACACACACACACACAGAGAGAGAGAGAGATTTAATAGGTGATTAATTTTCATTTAAACAGTTTCTTGAAGTCAGAATTAGGTTGGTTAAAAACTGAGAAGGTAGCACAGATTTTTATCCTTTATACTTGTGGATAAAAGTTATATTATTCTTTTAGAAAATTGGAGTGCTTAAATCTTCATTGGTCTTCAGTCTTAATCTGGGTTATATTTATCTGGTCCTAAAATGTGCCTTTTTTCCCTCAAGGGGAGCAGCTCTCCCCTGTGAACAGTAGTACAGCATCAACATTCGCAAAGAAATTAGAGAAAATGGCAAGTGCCTATGAATGCTGTGATGTAAAATTTGGAACAGAAAGGTAGAAAATGGACAATCCAAACTTATCCTGGTTGTGTTAAAGGCTGCAGTGTGGTGGTTCCTTAATGAGTGTGAAGCAAAGGCCTGAATGAGATCTTGTAGTTTGAAATTGGTACTTATAAACAATTTGTTTTGATACTTGATGAAGTGTGTTATAATTGAAGTAATTTTTATTAAATGTCATTTTTGTGTTGTATTTCTACGTTTATAATGTTTCTAATTTATAATGGGTAGTCATGTTTATCTTTTTATATCACTTCAATGTTATTTTATTTTAATTTTTTGTTGTTGACTATTGTTCTGTTTTCTGTTGTGAACCGCCCAGAGTAGCTTTGGCAGCCAGATGGAGGTATACAAATTAAATAAATAATTGAAGTATTCAGTGTCAGAGAAGCACTAGGTTTTCAGGTCATATTCAACATACGGCAGAATAGAGAAGTATTGACCTATGCATCAGATTGGACTTTGGGGGCCTCTGGGGGTCCAGCTTGTTTCTCCCTCCAAGGCCCTGCACCACTTCTCATAATTGCCTTCATAAAAAGGTCTCATTTATGCAAATAGAACCTGTGTCAAAGGCTAATTACCATGCCATGAGGTGCTGTCAGTGGGATTGCAGGCAGCTAGGTATGGAATGTTAACCCTTCCTGCCCTGTGTGTTGCCATATCTTAAACATTATGACAGCAGGAAGAAGGCATCTCATGGTCAGATATGAGAACTTTTTTTTATATAAGACAAAAGTGTAGCAGGGAGATAGAGTGAGAGAAAATGAGGGTGAGAAGAGGGGAAATGGAGACAAAGAAAGCACAGAGGGAGAGAAAGGGAAATAGAGAATGTAGCTGTAGACTCATCTATTAAGTTATGCACGAAAGCATGTAGACTTGGCAGTGAAAAGTATTGGTGACTTCTATTGTTCAGATTTACCTTGGCTTCTTTTTGGAATGCCATTCAAATCTCTGTTATTCTTTGTAGTCCAGAAATACAGTACATAGCGTGGTCCAGTTGGCCAAGAGTGCATTTGCACAATTAAAACTTGTGTGTCAGCTGCACCTGTTCCTGGAGAGATCTAATACGGTCACGGTGACACATGGCTTAGTTACATTGCTGCTGGGTTACTGTGACACACTCTGTGTGGGGCTGCTGATGGCAGGTGTAAGCAAACTTCAGCAGGTCCAAAAACACCTAAATTACTCATAGGGATCACATAACCCCCTTGTTCTAGCAGCTCCACTGGCTGCCGATCTGTTTCCAGGCACAATTCAAAGTGCTGCTTTTAACTTATACTGTAAAGCCCTGAGCAGCTTGAGCCAAGCTATCTCAAGGGCTGTGTCTCACTTTATGAGTCTGCTGGAGTGTTAAGATCACCAGGAGAGGCCTTTCTCTCAATTCTACAGGTGCCTTTGGTGGAGACACAGGAGAGAGCCTTCTCTAGTGCTACTCCCAGACTCTGAAACTCCCTCCAACAGGGTGCCAGGCTGGCCCCATCTTTGCTGTCCTTCCACAAGCAGGCAAAGAGCTTAAGGCAGTTTTTCCTTCAGTGCCTGGCTGCCTGAGTGGGGGGTTTAAATACAGTGGTGCCTTCACGACGACCCCATTAGATGACGAAATCACTTTACGATTAGTTTTTTTGCAATCGCTATAGCAATCACAAAATGACGATTCAATGGGTTTTTTTCACTTTACATTGAATCGGTCCCTGCTTCGGGAACCTATTTTTCGCTTCACAACGATCAAAAACAGCTGATCACCAGGTTTTCAAAATGGCCTCCCGCTGTTTTCCGGACCTATTTCCGTAAGACAGTGATCGAAAATGGCTTCCCCTATGGAGGATCTTTGTTTTACAATGAGGTATTTCACCCACTGGAACACATTAACCGGTTTTAATGCATCCCAATGGGTTTTTTACTTTTGCTTACTTTTGCTTAACAGCGATTTTAATGGAACGGATTATCGTCATCAAGCAGGTCACCACTGTAGATTGTTGTGTTTACTGCTTTGAATGTGTCTTTGTTGTTGCTTTTGTTTACTGTTTTTTAGTGTAGTATTTGTGTGATCCTGTTAGTATTTGTATACTTACAGTTTGTAGCTTTAAATGCTGTCTTTTAATGAAAATACTGTCTTGGGCTCTTTTTACGGAGAAAGGCGAAGTTAAAATATCTTAAATAAATAAAATAAAATAAGTTGGGCAGGGCCTCTCTGTGTTGGCATGTGGAACATGGTCCCTAAAGAGCTCTGCCTTGCTCCTTTATTTGCATTTTTGTGTGTGCATGTACATACTCCTGTGCATTATTTTTTCATGTGTAACATGTAGGCATTTGTATAAAAAAGTGAAATATTGACTGCAGTCCTGTTGGTCACAGTCCACTTGTGCAACAATGACATTATCAGCACTAGCATGTTGCTGCTGGATCAACATTTGCTTTTATGATTTCAGAATGCAGGTGACTTTACTGCATATTATACAAGCTTTGTGCATCCCAGAATTGCAAGAAGCCTTTAATCAGCAGCAGTCTGGCCCAGCTGATAACATCATTCTTGCCATGCTGGTCAAGCTGTTCAACAGGATTTCAGCCATAAAATATTAGAAATGAATGTAAATCCATAGCAGCAGATTTAACTCAGAGTGCATAACTGTGGATCTTGGCTTCTGTTGCTCTCTTAAACCCTCCCT